GTAGCATACCTTCTGAAAGCTTTCAGCCACAAACTGAGTCACCTAATCCCCTGCTACTTACTCATATTCCTGCTTGTTTTTTCCCCTTCATAAAATATCTATCCAATTCCCTTTTGGAGGGCCATTACTGAATCTGCATCCACTACCAAATCTGACAACGTATTCCAAATCTTAACGGTTTACTGCAGAAACATTTTATTTTCTCATGGCACCTCTGGTTCTTTTGTCAATTACCTCTTAAGTCTGTGTCCTCTTGTTCTGTGCCTTTCAGGCATTGCGAGTTTTTCTTTATTTGCTTAATCTAAACAATGGATGGCACAGTGGCTCTGTGGTTAGCACTGCTGCCTCACACAGCCAGGAACTGGGGTTCGATTCCACCCTCGGGCGACCGTCTGTGTGGAGTTTGCACATTCTCCCCGTGTTTGTGTGGGTTTCCTCTGGGTGCTCCAGTTTGCTCCCACAGTCCAAAGATGTGCAGGCTAGGTGGATTGGCCATGCTAAATTGCCCACTGTGTTCAGGGATGCGTAGATTAGGTGGGTTATAGGGGGATAGGTCTGGGTGTGATGCTCTGAAGCTCAGTGTGGACTTGTTGGACCGAAGGACCTGTTTCCACACTGTAGAGATTCTATGATTCTCTGAACTGAATGAAATCTTCCCTGTAGAGCACAAATTCAGTTTCTCTAGATTCTAACTGTATTTTTCTTATGCTTAGACAGCACATTACAGACTTCACGATCTTTTAGGTGAAAAAGGTTTTCCCTCAAAACCGTCTAAACCTCCTCCCTTTCATTTTAAAATTGTATCCCCTTGTTATTGACCCTTCAACTAAAGAGATCAGCCACTTTCTATTTATCGTGTCCATGTTCATCGTAATCTTATAAACCTCAGATTCCCCCCAACTTCTCTGCTCCAAAGAGAACAACCCAAGCTTATCCAGCTTCTCTTCATAGCTGAGACGCTTCATTCCAGACAACACCATGGTGAATCTCCTTTGCACCCATGCCAGAGCAATCACATCTTTCCTATAGTGTGGTGACCAGAAATGCACACAGCACATCAGCTGTGGCCTAACCAAAATTCTGTACAGCTCCATATGACCTGACTGCTCTTAAAAATCTATGCCATGACTGATAGAGGCAAGCAATCTGTATGCCCTCCTCTTAACCACATATTAACCTGTCCTACCACCTTCAGGGGATCTATGGACAAATACCCCAAGATCTCTCTGTTCCTCAGAGCTTCCTATTGTCTTGCCCTTCATAGAGTACTCCCTTGTCTTGTTCCCTCTTCCAAACTGCATCACCTCACGTTTGTCAGGGTTAGATTCCATCTGCTAATGATCTGCCCATCTGATCAATCGTTTACATCCTCCTATAACCCAACACCTTCCTCCTGCTAACAACCTGGCCAATCTATGCATCATCTGCAAACTTACTTATCACCCCCAATCCCACATTCTCATCGACATCATTTCTGAATATCACAAATAATAAGGGACCCAGCCCTGATCCCTGTGGAATGCCACTGTACACCAAGCTTCAGTCACAGAAACTGCCTTCTACCACCACTAAACTAATTTTGGATACAACTTGCTAAGTTATCCCAGATCCCATGAGCTTTTACCTTCTTTATCAGTCTCCCATATGGGACCTTGTCAAAGGCCTTGCTGAAATCCACATATACTGCATCAACTGCCGTACCTTTATCCAAACACTTGGTCACCTCCTTGAAAAATTTCACCAGATTTCTTGACCTCCCACTGACAAAGCCATGCAGACTGTCTCTGATTAAACCTTGCCTCTCTAAACAGAGATTAATTTTCTCCTCCACTATTTGGTCCATTAGTTTCTGTAACACTGATCCTAGACACACTGGTCAAAGTCCCCTGGTTTATCTCTACCACACACTTCTTGTAAAATGAACCATGTCAGTTGTCCTCTCGTCCTCTGGCACCCCCTACGTGGGAGGGTTAGGGCCCCTGCACTTTTCTTCCTCATCTCCCATAGCAGCCTAGCTTAGGACTCATCCAGACCTGCAGATCTGTCCACTTTTAAATCCACCAAAACCTCCAATATTTCCTTGTTCATTGAACTCATCTTCTTGAATTCTGTATTTGCATCCTCCTTCTAAAGTGTGAAGACAGAAGTGAAATACCCATTTAACACTCTAACAATGTTGCTGGCTTCTCACTCAGATTGCCCCCTTGTCCCTAATAAGCTTTACTCTTTGCCTGGTTATTCTCTTCCCTTTGGTATACTTGTAGAATATCTTGGGATTCTCCCTAATCTTACTCACTTTTCTCACGCTCCCTCTTTGATCTCCCCCTTTCTCGCATCCGTCCTGCACTTTCTGTACTCCTCTAGGACCTCTGCTGTTTTTTGTTCCCTTTGTACCCATTATACATCTCTCCTTTTCCTTTTGTCCAGTCCTGAATATTCCTAGGACATTCAGGATTCCCCGGGCTTGTTGTCCTTAAATACACACTTAGAAGAACATTTTGGCCCCATCCAGAACTTTTTTGAACACCTCCCACTGTTCTGCTGTAGTTTTACCCTCAAGTAGCTGTTCCCAGAATATTTTGGCAAGATGCCACCACCAGACACATATTCCCCTCCCCTCCCTTTTCCGCCTTCCCTCCGGGACACCCTGCTCTACACTTCCTTCACCCCCAATACCCCCCCACAGCCCTACAGCACCTTCCCCTGTAACCAGCAAAGGTGCAACACCTGTCCATTTACCTCCTCCCTCCCCAGTATCCAAGGGCCCAAACATACTTTCCAGGTGAAGCAACACTTCACCTGCACTTCCCAGAATCTAGTCTACTGCATTCGCTGCTCACAATGTGGTCTCCTCTACAGTGGGGAAACAAAGCACAGGATGGGTGACCACTTCGCAGAACATCTACGTTTTGCTTGCAAAAAAGACCCAGAACTACCTGTTGCCTGCCACTTTAACGCACCACCCTGTTCCCCGACCAACATGTCTGTCTGGCTTGCTGCAGTGTTCTAGCGAAGCTCCATGCAAGCTGGAAGAACAACACCTCATTTTCCGCTTGGGGACCCTGCAGCCCTCCGGACTCAATATCGAGTTCAATAACTTTAGGGCCTAAACTCTCCCATGTCCTAGTCCCCTACCCCTCACACTAGGCCCTGTTACCACATAGCCTGCCATTACACACTACCAGAGGACACAGGTTTAAGATAACTGACAAAAGAGCCAGAGGCAACATGAGAAAAAAGTACCAAACTTAATGATTTGGAATGTATTGCCTGAAAAAGTGGAGGTAGCAGATTCAATAATAACTATTAAAAGGGAAACAGATAAACACTTAAACTCATATATGTACAAAGTAAACATATATTGGGCTATAGGGAAAAAGGGCAAGGGAATGCCATTAACAGCATAGCTCTTTTAGAGAGCTGGTAGAGACAAAAATGGGCTGAATGGTCTCCTTCTGTGCTGTATCAATCCATAACTCGACTCTTTCGATTTAAATCTGAGATAGATCTCTGCAATTTAAAGCGTCAGCAAGGCTCTTTGATTGCTTCACATCCTTGCAACACATTTCCAACCCACATATTAATCAGTAGCAAAACTGTTTCTTTCATGCATTTATTCTATGTATGTTAGTTCTGTCTTTCATCTGGTTCTCTGTTTTGCATCACTGTCTACATTCTTGAGCACCCGGTGCAATCTTCGAAAAGCCAATCTGGAAATGTTTTCTGATTTTCACCTATTGGTGCCATAAAGAAAGTAAGTGGTCTCAATAAGTGAACTACAAGGTTCATACTTGGCAGTTTCAACTTTGCACTATGTCTTCCCTTCATCATTGTCTCCATAAAAATAGATGAAACTACAAATGAATTTTGAATTTAAAACTTTTTTCAAATAATTTTCCATCTTCAAATTAACCATGTTTGGACACTTTTCTCAGCGCTGTGCGCCTGTGCCTGCTAATCCACTAACCATGTGCCCAAAGATATTGAGCTGTGTGTGAATTATATGTTCTGTATATTTACTTTCCCTTCACATACTATCGATTTTTGGGGGAAAATGCTGTTATTTTATTAGCTGAAGCTGTAGACATACAAAAAGTCCTATGTGTGCAAACTTATGGTTTGCAAAATTATGTTAAAATGGACATGGCACAGTCCATTATACAGAAGATTACCTCCTTACACCTAGTGGTTGTAATCTTGATAGACACTCTCTTTAAGACACTGTCTGGAACCTACAAGCATTCATTGTTTGTAAGAAGGGTTTAAATAAACTTCAACAAATAACTCACAAGATCCATCACTTGTCTTTTCAATATCCTTAAAATATTTTCAATAATTAAATTAGACTAGGAACCCTGCAAAAGGTCATAATAAATAATGTGTCCCATCTATTTTTTTGTATAATGCATAGAGAAGAACGTGTTTTTGAGAAGTTGGTGCGACGACAATAAACACAAAACAGCAAAGCAGCTGATTTGAAAAAATCTTTTTTCACACTTCAAACATGGTTCAATTTGAAGATATCGTTTTTTTAAAAAATATTGGGCAGAAAGGTGACTGTCTACTACACCGATGAACGCAGTTGCGAAGAACGTGGATGTTTGGCTAGTACTGACGATTCTCCTACCAGAAATGATTCAAATAACTGTCGAAGTGACATTTGGAAGAAATCCTGTCCATCGTATAACTCAAACAAGGGCAATTAATCAAGTGTGCAAAGTACAACTCAATTCAACACTGCACGAGCCACGTAACGGAAAAGATCAAAATAAAGTGATATTCTGATCGCGCACACATATAGAACATTACAGTACAGAAGCAATGGGCTGGAAGGGGGAAAATAAACCTATCCAGAACCAGATTATGCTTGGCAGCAATGGCAAACGCGGTCACAATGCATCAAATAATGACGACTCGAAGTCAGAATTTGGAAGAATGGGGCAAACGACAGTGGGTGATTAACTGTGGTGAAAGGGGCAAGCATTGATGGTGTTCCTTACCCAAGGCTCCCTGCTCGATGGTGATGACGATCTCATCCATTAAGACCATGCGAAATTCCACCTCCTCTTCGGCGCATTTTTGTCGGAGGGCGCGCTCGATCTCCTGCTGTGGGTAATCCTGCAGGATCCGGCGATCTGTCAGAAACCAGACCCGGGCGGACATGATTCACGCACCGAACAAACGGGCAGCCCAAGGAGTGCGTAAAAGGGAGAAAGGATCGAGACTACGGGAAGTGGTGACGGATGGAAGTGCGGAGCCAGCCTTGAGACAAGCGTGTCTTTTGGGGAAGGAGGGGAGAGGGGCGGATGGTGCTAGAGGCGGGCGCCGCTTCTCCGCCCGGGAGGAGGGAAGGGGGGGGGGGTGGAAGGTGGTGGTCGGTGTGTGTGTGCTCCACCGATCGTCCGAAAAAAAAAATCAACCAAGTGTGGGGCGTGGTGGGGAAAAGATAAAAGGAAAACCTATGAAGAATAAAAAAATAACGTTATCGTTAAACTGGGTATCAGCCCGAACCCCACCAATAGGTGGGAGGGTCGCGAACTGACGGCTTATTACGAAGCCAAGAGACGGCGAAGGGTAAGACGGGGGGGGGGTTAAAAGGAGGAAAAGGGAAGAGGGGTTAAAAGTAAGAAAAAGGGAGGAATCAGTATTTCCCCTCACACAAGTCTTTAAAAAAGAAAAATCTGGAAGCGGCTGAAGGCAAGGGCTTTATACCCTTCCCCTCCGGTGCCCTTTAGCTAGGGCGGGTAACGGTTATTCTTTCTTTTGTGTTTATGTGGAAATGATTTCTTTCCCCTCTCTTCACGGTGTCTTGTGTTTTTAAAAGAAAACTTCCGCAAAACCGGTAGCCGTCGTCTCCCCTTGTTTCGTTCTCTCTTGTGTTTTGTAGACAGACAGCGACAGCCTCCTGCCGCTCCGTTTTGTTGTGTGAGATGGATTTTGGGGGTGGGGGGAGAGACGGTGGGTTGGTCCCGAGTGAACCCTCACTGCGCGTGCGCCCTGAACATCTGACCCACTTCTCACACGACATTGTTTTTCTCGCTCGCTCTCTGGGTCCGTTCGAAGCGCGCGAACCTGCCGCGTGCCGGCCGCGGAACCAGTTCCGCGCGCTTTGTACAGTAAGGGAGCGTGAGGGCGGGACGGGTGTTAGGTGCTCGCTCGCTCGCCCGCCGTTGTGTGCGCGCTCACCGTTCGCTTCCCGGCTCACGCGCTCTCGGACCAGACTTCGACCATCACACACCCCCCCCCCCCCCACGCGCACGTACGTGCACGTCAATCAAAGCCCTCTCCTCCGACGTCTTGTCTCGTTCGCTGAAGTCTTGCTGTGCTTTCTGAGCGTCCACCTCTCCCCTTCCTATCCACGCTGCATATACGTGGACGGTCGACTCATTAGATAATGATTTTCTTTCGGTTCATCTCGACGCGTAAAATAACGACTTTCAAGGTGTGCGAGCGTGGCATTTGTTCGAGAGTATGGTGGTGGCGGGGAGCGGGCGAGTTCTTGGTGGGGCGTCTCGGTTATGAGCTCCTTTGCAATTGGAGAGAAACAGTCCTTGCAATGCTGGTCGCTAGCAGGAATTGCTGGGGATGAAGTAACTGGCCCCGATCTCTCGGTCCAGCGTGTTGAGGTTATATATTGCTGTTGACTAAGAAGGGAACTAGCTCCCTGCAACCAGCTTTTCTTGTCTCTGTCTGAGTCACCCACACCCCCAGTACCGCCACCCACCCCGGGGGAGCATACCACACTCCTAAGGATAAAAGCTGCCTTTTTAGATCTTGCAATAAAAAGTTGGCGAGAGGTTAGGTAGGTAGAAGTGAGAGCAAGAAATAGAGCATTCCATCCAACAGCTCCGCTGTTCAGAAAGAGTGTGATTCCTAATGTAGCAGTAACAAAACACCAAATGTTATTTGTTTTCAAGATTCTGTATCAACAATATTTCTTCCCAAGGACAATCCTACAGTGGAAAAGGCTGCCAGATGAAATAAATGTGCAAACTTCAAGGTCCATCCTTAGATTATAAAAGTTTTAATGGTCTGCTGGTTGTGATTTGGTTTTGTTTGTCCGAAATGACTTTAGAATACAGTTATGAGTTTGTGTTGCCAGCACAGCTGAAGTTGAAGCAGATCTTCTTTGTGGCTTTAACTCTGCTTTTCTGCCTATTCCCCATAATAGAGTAGATGGTGGCATAGTGGTAATGTCATTGGACTAGGGACCCAGGCTAATCCTCTGGGATCATGGGTTGAAATTGAAGTAAGTTAATAAAATCTGAAATTGAAAGCTAGTCTCAATAATGAAACTATCATGAATTGTAAGAAAAAATACCTATCCAAATGACTGGTTCTCTGGGATCTGCCATTATTCTGTGGTCTGCTCTACATGTGGCATGTCAGTCCAGACTCACGGTAACATAGTTGACTCTTGACTGCCCTCTGAAAAAGACTTCAGTTCAAATCACTCAGTTCAAGGACAGTTAGAAATGAGCAACAAACACTCATATCTCATTAAAGATGAAGAAGAAGCCTGATTCCTTTGTCAATCAAAAATCTGTGTAACTAAACCTTGACTATTTCAATGATCCAGCCTGTTGAGGCAGAGATTTCCAAAATATATTGATCTCTGAAAGAACAAATTCCTCCTCTCCATCTTAATTGGGAGACCTGTTATTTTTAAAAACTTACTCCTGTAGTCTTTCATCCTCCCCTCAGAATCATACGTTTTTCAACAAGGTCACCTCTCATTCTTCTAAACTTCAATGAGTATATACCCAATCTGCTCAAGCTCTCCTTAAAGCAACTCCCTAATTCCAAGAATCAATCCCGTGAGAATTATCTGACCTGCCTCCAATGCAAATATATCCCTTCTTAATAAGGAAACCAAAACTGTATAGTTATTTTTTACAATAACTGGTACACTTTCACACACAAAAGCTAACCCTAAACACATCACCCAGAGACTGATGGAGTTCACAGCTAATGCATTTCCATTGTATATTCACAAATCTTTTAAACAGGAAGTTACTGCTTTTTTTTAAACTGCATCTCAAATCTCAATCTAAGACTTAAAATTAACAATTCTCACACAATGTTAATTAACAAAGCATTCAATACAATCTTCCCCATAAAGTAGTTCCTATATATGTGTAGCCTTAAACCAAAATTACCATATTCATTAAAGACCGTAGGGGCAGCACAGTGGCTCACTGGTTAGCAGTACTCCCTCAAAGCACTGAAGATCCAGGTTCAATCCCCACTCTTGGGTGACTGTGTGTGTGGAGTTTGCATGTTCTCCCTGTGTCTGAATGGGTTTCTGCTGGGTGCACTGGTTTCCTCCCACAGCCCAAAAATGTGCAGGTTAGGTGCATTAGCCTTGCTAAATTGTCCAGGGATGTGCAGGCTAGGTTGATTAGCTATGGGAAATGCAGGGTTACAGGGATGGAGTGAGTCTGGGAGGGATACTCTTCAGCAGGTCGGTGTGGACTTGATTGGCCATGCTGTAGGGATTCTATAACACAATAAGAAGCAGGAGTAACCCATTTGGCTGCTTAAGCCTGCACCACCATTCAGTAGGATCATGGCTGATCTGACACTCCTCATGTCCATTTTCCCTGTAATGCTTGATTCCCCTACTGATCAAAAATCTATCCATTTCAGCCTTTAATATGCACAAGGACACTGCTGCACAGCTCTCTGTGGCAAGGAGTCCAAATACTCTCAACTCTGTAAGAGAAGAAATTCCTCCTCATCTGTTGTAAATTGATGCTCCTTTATTCTGAGACTATGCCCTCTCACCTCTCAATATTTATTCTGTCAAGCCCCTTAAGAATCCTATATGTTTCAATGACATTACCTCTCATTCTTCCACGTTCCAATAAGTAGGTCCCAATCTGTTTAGACTTTGCTCTTAAGTCATTCCCTCCACTCCAGGGATCATCCTGAACTGCCTCCAATAAAACTATGCCTTTCCTCAAATAAGGGGATGCAAACTGTTCTCAGAACTCTAGATGTGATCTCACCAGCACCTTGTACAGATACAGTAAGACTTCCCTACTCATACTCTAATGCACTTGAAATAAGGGTGAACATTTCATTCATCTTTCTGATTACCTGCTGCACCTGTGTGTAGCTTTCTGTTTTTCATGTACAAGTACCCCCAAGACCCTTTGTGTTACAGCTTTCTAATGTTTTTTCTCCATTTAAATAATGTTCTTTTGTTTTCCATTCCAAAATGAACAACTTAACATCATACTCCATTTGGCAATATTTTGCCCATTTGCTTTTCTTATCAATATCTCTCTGTAAATTCTTTCTATTCCACTCGCAACTTGCCTTTCCACCTATTTTTGTGTCATCTGCAAATTTGACTACAGTACATTCACTTCCTTCCTTCCTCCAAGTCATTAATATATATTGAGTCCCATCACTGATCCCTTTGGAACTCGACTAGTCATGAGTTGACAACATGAAGAAGAACCCCGTATCCCCACTTGCTGTTTCCTGCCCATTAGCCTATTCTCTATCCACGCCATTATACTTCCTCCAACACCTTTTGTGATATGCCTTGTTGAATGCCTTCTGGAAGTTCAAATATAACACATCTACTGGTTCCCTTCTACTCTTTTAAACCAAGAGAAAACAAAGTAATGGTCCCTTCACACTGTCCCCATCACCACTCCCAGGACAGGGAAAGCATACAGTTAGAGACAGAGTAAAAGTTACTCTACATTTTTAAACTGTAAGAAAAGCCCCTCGAGACTGTCACCATCAAACACTTCCAGAACAGGGACAGCATGGGATTAGATACAGAGCAAAGCTGTCTCTACTCTTCTAAACTAAAAGTAAATGGAAAGTAAAGCCCTCTCTACACTGCCCCCCATCAAGTATTCTCAGAACAGGTAGAGCACAGGGTTCAATATAGAATAAAACTTCTCCAACTTTGTCTCCATCAGGGGCACCAGGACAGGGACAGCACGGGAATAAGTACAGAGCCAAGTTCCTTTATCTCTTTTAAACTGAAAGTAAAGTTCCCTCTACTCTTTTAAAACTGAAAGGAAATGGAAAACAGGTTAGAATCATAGAATTGCTACAGTGTGGAAGCAGGCCATTTGGCCCATCGAGCCCAGACCAACCCTTCAAATAGCATCCCATTCTTCCCACCTCTGCACTTAGCATGGCTAATCCACCTAGCTTGCACATCCCTGGACACTGTGGGCAATTTAGCATGGTCAATCCACCTAACTTGTACGTCTTTGGACTGTGGGAGAAAACCAGAGCACCCAGAGGAAACCCGCGTAGACATGGAGAGAACATGCAAACTTCACACAGACAGTCACCTAAGGCTGGGATTGAATCCAGGTCCCTGGCACTGCAAGGCAGCAGTGCTAACCACTAAGCCATGACACCATTCACAACAAAAGCTCCTGGAAAAGGAACAGTACAGGGTTAAATACGGAGCAAAGCTCCCTGCACATTTTGAACTAAAAGTAAACTGAATGAAGAGTTCCCTCAATACTGCCCACGTCCAACACTCCTGGAATAGGGACAGCACGGATTCAACACAGACTAAAACTCCCTCGAATCTTTTATGAAAACAGAAATTCAAAAATACTAATAACAAAACAACCCCTATTAGGACACTGTATCGAAATCAAAAAACAAACTTAACAGTCAAACAGAAACTTATAGAATGAAACATAAACTTAATAAAATAATCAGAGATAGTAGGAACTGCAGATGCTGGAGAATCCGAGACAACAAGGTGCAGGGCTGGATGAACACAGCAGGCCAAGCAGCATCGTAGGAGCAGAAAGGCTGACGTTTCGGGCCTAGACCCTTCATCAGAAAAAAAAGGCTTTTTTTTCTGAT